TTTGAAGGTTAGTCAAAACGGTTGTGTTGTGGCATCCATGGTAACGTTTATAAAACAAACCCGAGCCTTGTTGTTTTGCTGAGCATATTACTACTTTAACCAACAAGTTGCTTCCAACGGAAGCACTTATACAACTGTTGTTTAGTAACTGTTAAAGGCTGTACATATGCTAAATATTTTGGTATACAACTTCACCATAACCTAACTTTCTGCTGTCATATTTTTGTTAAAATGCCATGACCAATGATTTAAGACAAAGCATGCATATCGGTTCAAAACGTTTTATCAACTGTTCAAACAGAAGATATAGATCTGGTATAAATTCTGGGTAAATCATTCGACTCTGTCGGTATTTCATTTCAGACATTTGTCAAATTGTTGTATAACACCTGCAGGCAACACCAAAATGTTCTAATAAACTGAAGCCAACATGGACGATGCCATGATTATACACAACCACCAGCCATATTGAGTAAACATTTATTCCTCTATTTCGAAATTACAGATATAAAGTGATAAACATTAGTGTAATTGTGTGTAAATATAGGATTTGTGGAAGATTTGACGCAGATAAGTTCAGTTTTCCATCTTCAAAATCTAGACATACTTTTGATCATTGTCAAAATATGAATCAAATACGAAGCCCGTAGAAATTGGGTAACTAATTTGCACGACAATCACAATAAAATTTGCTGCGCAAGTAATTCAATAGCCCTATATCACAGTGTAGAAGTTTATCATCACAATGGCCGATATGTAAGTAAACAAGGTGACTGTAATGTGTTAGTTATATATTCTTCACTTCGTGTATACAATACATAAGAAATAAAACCAAACGATTGCAATAAAGTAGAATCACGTAACAGAATAGTTGTATAGTTGACAAAAACTGAATCTTGCACTGACGCAAATGTCCTATAGTGGCTGCAAGAGGCTTACACTTTTGTTGTATATCTGTTGCCTGCAGCCCTTATACAACCTCTTAAATGACTGAAGTGTCCTATTAGGTGTGCCCATTCCGCTTGTATAGCTGTTCTAAGAGGGTTTTGTCAATGTTCCTACAGTATTCAATGCTGTTTAAGGAATACTGTATAATCATTCTTGCAACTCTAATAGGAGTGATAACTGTTAGTTGGGACACAACCACCAGCCATATTGGGCAAACATTTATTCCTCTATTTAATATTAAATAATTATGTTTCAGTTCGAAATTACAGATATAAAGTGATAAAAATTATTGTAATTGTGTCTAAATATAGGATTTGTGGAAGATTTGACGCAGATAAGTCCAGTTTTCCATCTTAAAAATCTAGACATACCTACTTTTGATCATTATCGAAATATACATCAAATAAGAAGCCCGTAGAAACTGCGTAACTACTTTGCACGATAATCATATCACAGTGTAGAAGTTTATCATATACCTGTGTATGAAATTCACAATGGCCGATATGTAAGTAAACAAGATGACTGTAATGTGTTAGTTATATATTCTTCACTTAGTCTATACAATACATAAGAAATAGTTTGGTTGCAATAAAGTAGAATCACGTAACAGTATAGTTGTATAGTTGACAAAAACCTTACACTGACGCAAATGTCCTATAGCGGCTACAAGAGGCTTACACTTTTGTTTTATAACTGTTACCTGCAGCCCTTATACAACCTCTTAAATGACTGTGAGGTGTCCTATTGGGTGTGCCCATTCCGCTTGTATAGCTGTTCTAAGAGGGTTTTGCCAATGTTCTTACAGTATTCAATGCTGATTAAGGAATCCATTTGGTGGAACTCGGCCATCCATTCAAATTCAAATTCAATATTTGGTTTCTTACTTTTAAAAAATAATAACAGCTACAGAAATATGCAATTTACCAAATAAAAAACCCCATAAAAGGCATAGCCTTGTGCATGGGAATGTTTATATCTAATACGTGAATCTTCTCTAATTACAAAGGTCCATAACACTTAACATTCAGTTTACACCTTAAAATATTAAAAACAATATTTATAAAAGGAATGTTTTTGAACGTATCACGTTTCAGTAATAGTAAGCACTATAGGGATTTCATGCCACCATTCCTTCATTTTTTTTTAAATATAACTAAAGAACTGAAGTCTCCGACTATGATAGGTATTTCATAACATAACTTTGGCCCTAAAAAGATATGACTTCTGAGCAAAGTATTTTTTTGTGGTTTAGGAATCGCAATGGACCTATTTCTTGTATTGTAGCCGTGTTGTCCATTTATTAAAGTTGTTCTATGTATGTTGAAAAATGCCAATTGCTGATAGATGTCCAGTAATTGTCTATTGAAACCAGATGAGCGCTAGTTCGCTTCTTGATGTTTCAAAAAAACAAAGAGATATTTTTCTGTGTAGACATAATAATAATAATAGACGTCTTTATTTATCCACAATTACATTGTAGTATAGCCAAATGTCAGACTTACACGGCGAAGTTTAGCATGCTGCTACTCTTACACTTAACTATGTAGTCGCTAGCACATGTTAGAAGTATACATAATCCACAAACAGATTTGGTTCAGTACATTAAAATTGATAACCTGAATTAAATACGGAATAAAAAAGAAATGAATGATTAAGTAAATTATATGTTTGGATGGTCGAGTAATATTGTTTTAACATTTTGTCGAAAGACAGGTAATGAAAATTCTTTATATACTTTAGGAAGGTCATTATCAATAATAGAAACATTGTAAGAAGAACTGCGTTTAAAAGGTGTGGACGTATGCTGGGGTATTTTAATATTATTTTCTCTGAGATTTCTACAGTGAACATCGTTATTAAATGAAATTTAGTAAGAGGGTTTAGTGTGCTACTGATCAGCCGGCCGGCCGGGCCGCGAGTTCGAATCTCGCCTTCGCCATGGATGTTGTGACGTCGTGTGTTTGTCCATAATTAGATATATATTTGCCAACCTAGTTACTGGCTGCATGGCTCGGTCCTAAAGCCAAAAAAAAAAGTGTTTAGAGGTGAGCAGCAATTTGTGAACAAAAACTGAATAGTGGTACTTGACCATGTCATTAATTTTTAACCAGTTTAGAATGGGATATTTCGCTAACACATGATCAAGTTTACGTAAGCCAAAGATGAAACGCATACAATTGTTTTGAATGACTTAAATAACGTTTTTAGTGAAATTGTCTAAACAAGTGTCGTATACGATATTACAATAATTTAGAATAGACATGACCAATGCTTCACATAGTTTTTTAAGCAACGTACGTAGTCGTAGGTAGGTTTTCTGGGAAAAACTTTTAACATGCTCAACAAACCTTAATTTTGTATCAAAAACAACACCAAGAATTTTTGCAACATCAGAAAATTGCAAGATTTGGATATTTATCTGAATGTTCAAGAGCTGTGTTACATAGTATGTTTTTCTTTGTGCGCAAAATAATCACATTTTAGAATGTTATGAATCAATAAGTACATTGTGATCTGAAGAGTATTTAATTAATTTACTAACATCGTTTTATAAAATTTTAGTAGTATTATTGACATTATCTGGGTCAAAATAATGGAGCAATTGCGTATCGTCTGCGACATGAAAATTATCAATACTTTTGCTTAAGTCGAACGTATATATGAGGAACAGCAGCGGCCCCAATACAGAGCCCTGAGGTACGCCTGAGGGAATTATTGTCACTGGAGACATTTCTTGGTTGATAAAAACACACTGAGTTCTTTGATGAAGGTAACTGTCGAAAAATGAAAGGGATACACTGTCAAGACCTATGACCTGTGTAATTTAATTTAGCAAGTAATAATTTATGATTGATGCTGTCAAAGGCTTTCGAATAGTCTATAGAGATCAACGCTAGTGCCATTTTCTGATCTAAGGCACTTAAAATATTGTCTTTTAGATTGAGTAGGGCAGATGTTGTACTATATTGGAAACAAAATAAAGCAAAAAGTTGACGTGTATAATAAATAAAATATTCAAGAATCTAAAATACGAATACAAAAATGCCTTAAACTTAAAACACTAAATGTAAACTAAAAATAATACTTGACACAAATGTTCAGCCTCAGCGCCATTTAACATTTTACTAGATTAACAATAATACAGGATATGTATAAAAACAAAATTGAAACCTTACAATCTCGAAAGTAAAATAAAAGGTTTTTAGTGTAAACCAAAATAAACTAAAAATAATTATTACCATAAATGTTCAACAACTGAGTTTTAAAATGGTAATATTGTAATATTTTTCCTAAAATACTCGTTCGTTTTTTCTTGACCATAGTTCCCGCTTTGGGAAACAATCTTTCGGCATCTACAAATACCAGTATATGATGTTTGAAATTTGTGAGTTAACCACATGTTTTCAATTCCCCGGAGCAGCTACTAAAGTGTAAGAATCTAGGCCTGAGGAAATTGAGATCATAATTCCGATTTTTTTCGAACTAAATAAATAGTATTTTTACGACAGAACAAATGAATGAATGTTGCAAAATTACATAAATTTACAGAGCCATTCAAATATGAGTTTGGATCATAATTATTGCCAAGGCTTAAGACAAGTTACATTCCGTCCTTAATTCTCGTAAATCAAAAAGCAGCAGCATCTGGCTGATTTCAAAAACTAGTATAAAAGTAAATATTCTGGACATCTAATATTCCAATGTAATAATTGTATAATTACATTTAGTAGTTACATTAAACGAAAATAATTATATAAATAGATTAAATTCAGCATTCTTTCTTATGTAGTAAACGAAAAATATTTTTCAGAATTATTCTTTCTTAGCAAACGTACTGAATTACAACATGATAATAGGTCAGAAAGGGCAAAAAGGCGGTACTACTACCTTTTAACCTTGATAAATTGATTTACTGCTTTTATGCCTAGGAAATTTAATCAATATGAAATATTTGACAATGTGCAAATATAAAATATTTTTTTAAATAATGTCATCAATGACATATCTTGGAATTGTAATCATAAAAGGAATGTATTAGCGTCAGAATTTATAAAGGGTGTAAATGTACTTGCATACTGCTATGGTATTATCCTTCTACATCGTGAAATATTTTCTCCAGAAGCCTTTAGGCATTTTACATTTGCAAAACTTTTTTACTGCTGACCAAGAAAGACCGTGTACACTCCTCAAGAAAACAAAGCCGTTTAAGGTATGAAACTGTTTTGCATACGCACTCACAGGTGGTGTCACCTTTTATCGACTTTTTTATGTTAGTGAAGTGTGAGCGTACTTGGAGTTCTTGCATCTGTCTCACAGATTTGTTAAAAATCGAATATAACGTACCTAACTAAAATATAGTTTCAATGCTGCAGATTTCAGCGTGCTAGCTTGACTTGTTTAAAAAGTAAGCAGGGGGAAACTTTTTGTAAAGCACTGCACAGACAAACGTTATACTTATTGACCAAAATGTTACTTTCAAGGACAGGAGTCGAACCTGCGAGTCTTTGATCTGATGCCCCAGCGAATGACAGCCTAACACAGCTACCAAGCCTCTAACACACTAAGAAAAAACCGCAATCCTCTCTGGATCGACTAAAATACGTTTCACGCTAAATACAAAATTTTAAAGCCTTCCCTGTCGACGGGCGGTTCAGCGAGATTGTAAAGACAAAATCTACAACAGTCGGGCATCTACCTAGAGCATAATTGAATTTGGCGCAAATTTTCCAGAGTTTAAAAACAAAATTTGCATTTTAGATTAAAAAATGATGTGAGAAGTACGAAAAAGTCTGCCGTCTGTCCTCTAATGGAATTTGTGAGTATGCGAAAGAGAAATGATGGAAGTTGGACCAGTTTTTTCCTGATGTGAACAGTGTAGGTAGATTCATGTTAGCATGCTTGATTTAGATGCATGTGGAATAGATGTCATGTAACTGAAATTCTGAGTTGAGAAGCTATTTTATATCAAATTTAACATGCTAATATGTATATCCCGAGTGGGTTGTTGGCTAAACAATTCCTGGTGTGACTATGATAAATCAAAAATTCAAAAGTGGCTTTTTACTTAATAACGTAATAATATTGTAATGCATTGTATAGTGCTGTATGTCACAGTAAGTTCTGTCTTGTGTTGTCAAATAGTATATCTCAAATAGTATAGCTGTAGTCACCGTTCTTGGCCGATGAAAGTAAGGCTACCAGTATCCGTTTATATAATAAAATTATTAATAATAATAATAATAATAAACGGCTTTATTGGCGGAGTTTAGCACAGCTATTCTTACACCTTTCTAAAGACTAAAGCTAAAGCTAATTTGACATACAAATATGGTATTTCACATATGCAGTAAACGATTGTCTATGAATCTAACTAAAAGGACATAACGGTATTTGATCACGGGGCATTTATTTATTGATCCTATGCTGAGTTCATGTTGTCTGAGATGCAGTTTGAAACGGATGTTATTAGTATTTAATATATCAATATTCCTGCCATAGATGTTAAAGAGAGACACTTCATTATACGTGAAAGATCTATAAAAGAGTGATGTTACATACATAGGCATTGTAAAATGGTATGTCTTATATTGACACGATGTATACTTGACCTAGGGATCAGCTTTTCTACTAAATATACAAGATCCTTAGGATATAATACACGATTCAATGTTGTTATGTAAAAATACTTGAACAGAGAGTTGACATTAAGCCATTGTAAAAGCCTGGAACTATTAGATATGTAGTCAAATTTACGTAAGTTACAGACAAAACGGCAACAGTTATTCTGCAATCTCTGCAGGCGAATTTGAGTCGAATAGTCCAGGCAGGGATAAAAAACTATCAAACTAGAACTGATAATTGATAGCACTGAACTTTCAGCCAACTTTTTCCTCGTCTTGAATTTGATAATGTACTTATTGGCATTCAGTACTCGCAGTTTCAAATAACACCTCTGAGATATTGTTTTAATGTATTGTTGGTAACGTAACTTGTCATCTATGATCAAACCAAGTATCTTACAGTTAGTTGAAAAATAAAGTTGTTGTTCATTCAGACCACTGCTAAAGTTTTCTCGCTTGTGATCAGAACAGAAAAGCACAAGTTTGGTTTTATCAGGATTTAGTTTCAAATTGTGTTCTTTACAATTGTCAGATACTGTTCGGAAGTCAGTGTTGATTAAATCATTTGCCTGTTCCTATAGGTATTTCCATCTACCTCATACATACACATGCAACCTACCCCGGTGTGTGTACGTTTATTCGGTAAGCTCAAAGACATGTTTTTTAGTTGTCTGCCTCTAAGGCCCGTATCGTCAGTCGTCCCTACAATTGTAGGGCGCGTTTATTGGCTCCTTGATTGTCATCCTCCTTTCTCTCCTTCAAAAATTTCTAGATTACACTTGTCCCGTGTCAGCGTCAGCGCTCTCCTATTGTGAAGATATGTTTTCTTTTTAAATTGTAGGAAATTTCAGGCTGATAAAACATGATATAACTCAAAAGCAAGCACAATTTGATGCAAATAGATGCTTGTGACATAACCTCAAAATAGAGTTCTGACATGGCGAAGCAGAAAACTATGACAATCAAGGAGGCCATCAAGGCGCCCTACAATTGTAGGGACGACTGACGATACGGGCCTAAAACTTTGTCGATACGTATGGGTGTCCTTCAATCATATTTGTCAGAGTGACAGCTTACTTCCCAACGATCAAAGTAGTGCTATAAGCTTTTGGTAAAAGAACTGTTCAGCTGTAAAAGCTCTCTATTGTTGTTGCCTGAACACCAAAATGCTGGCTTAATGTTGCTTGGAATGCAAATTTGCGCTTTCTGCAGCAGATTTGCTCTAAAATGAGGTGTTTAAAATATTCTTATAGCATAGTTATACAAAACCTTATAGGACAAATTTTGAATGGTTGTATAAACGTTTATACAACTGTTTTATACGGCATACTTGCGCGGCAGTCAAAATAGTTGTATTGTGGCATCCATGGTAACGTTTATACAATAAACCCGAGCCTTGTTGTTTTGGTGTGCACACTAACTACTTTAGACAACAAATTGCTCCCAACGGAAGCACTTATACAACTGTCGTTTAGTAACTGTTAAAGGCTGTACATCTGATCAATATTACCACTTTTATAGTACAAAATTGCTGCGCCTAACCTAACATTCTGTTATCATATTTTTAGTTAAAATGCCATAACCAATATTTTAAGACATGCATATTGGTTTAAAAGGCTTTATCAACTGTTCAAACAGGAGATATATATCTGATACAAATTCTGGGCGAATCATTCGACTCAGTCCGTATTTCATTTCAGAGATTTGTCAAATTGTTGTATAACACTTGCAGGCAACACCAAAATATTCTAATAAGCCAAAGGCAACATGGACGATGCCATGATTATACATAACCACCTGCCATATTGGGCAAAATATATTCCTCCATTGAAAATTAATTATACTAAGTGACATATAAATCCGAACACCCAGTTTAAATGGTTTTATTTTAATAAAAGTTGGTGAATGTATTTATCTTACTGTAAATAACAAGTGAAAAAATTTTCAGCCTTATCAGTTGGACATTCCGGTTTTTATACTGCTTTTTTAATTCACTAACGCTCTAAAAAATATTTCAGCCGCAGTAAAGAATCAACGTTGGCGGATTTTGGTTCTTGACATCCTTTACGATCGGTTACGATGCCTAGAGTACGGAGACGATTTCGTCAACTTAGTGAGTTTGATAGAGGCCGTATAGTGGGACTTCGGGAAGCTGGACTTTCTTTTCGGGCAATTGCAGTTAGAGTGCAAAGAAGTGTAGACACTGTGGTTAGGTGTTGCCAGACATGGCTTCGAGAAGGCCGTACGCAAAGAGCAAGGGGCACTGGACGCCGCCGTAGAGTAACAGACCGTGAAGATCGCCGCCTAAGATTATTGGCCTTAAGGGACCGTTTCTCCACTACCAGGTCCATTGCAAATGAAGGGTTTGCAGAACACGGCAGACCTATTGGCATGCGAAGTGTTTACCAATGAATGAGAAGTTTTGGCTTGTTTTCATACCGGCCACACTGGGTCCTCCCTTCAACTCGAGAACACCGACGTAATCGCCTTGAGTGGTGCAAACAACGGTCTCCAACTTTCCAACAAGATAATGCCCGACCACATGTTGCAAGAGTCACGATAGACTTCTTTCAACATAATGATGTCACATTGTTACCATGGCCACCAAGATCTCCCGACTTATCCCCAATTGAGCACGTGTGGGATATGATGGGTAGGAGATTGCTCAATTTGCAACGTCCTCCTCAGACTACAGAAGCACTTCGAGAGGAGCTGGTGGTTGCCTGGAATGAGATACCACAGGAGGACATTGACCACCTGATCAGAAGCATGCCTAGGCTCGTTGGAGAATGCGTAGCACACCAGGGTGCATCCACACATTATTAAAGGTCAAAGGGCTTTAAAGCAGTGCAATCATTTTGAAATTTTTATCATTTACTTATTATGCTTCATTAAATACTTATACAAAATTTTATTAAAATAAAACCATTTAAACTGGGTGTTCGGATTGATATGTCACTTAGTAGAATTATGTTTCAGTTCGAAATTTCAGACATAAAGTGATAAACACTAGTGTAGTTGTGTCTAAATATTGGATTTGTGGAAGATTGAACGCATATCAGTTCAGTTTTTCATCTTAAAAATCCAAACATACTTTTGATCATTATCAAAATATGAATCAAATACGAAGCCCGTACAAATTGCGTAGCTACTTTGCACGATAAGTTTATCATATACCTGTGTATACAGGGTGTCCCGAAAAAAGTGTGCAATAGTCTAGAGCTTAAAATACGAAGAAAAGTTAATATAAACATAGGTCGACAAACGTCCCCTAAGGGCGCTACGGTCTTTTAAAGGGACTCCCCTGAAGATGGTTTTTCCTTAATATTTCCGAAACGTGTTGAGATAAAGACATAAAATTTGGTAGTCTGGCCTAGTTTTTTATGCTGGATTTAAAAATATTAACAATTTTAGACAGTTTTGTTTGGAAGCGTATGTAACAGGGACGGACTCAGGTTATTGCAGCTCCAAAATTTTTGTGTGATTCTATTTTTGAAATTCAATGTTAGAATATATGTTCTACATAAAAAGGTACTCTTATTAACTATCGATAACTTGTGCCATTTTTGAATACAATCAAACTAAAAAATTTGTCACATGATAGGAAATATACTGCGAATTTAAATGAATTGTTGATTATACATAGTTAGCCATGACTGCAAACAAAAGTTGTTTTGATTTGTTATGACTTATTTTGACTTTAAGCTGACATTGTTAGCAGTGTAAAATTACTAGACTAAAATCACAATTTTTATTAAATCGGTTTAAAATGCCAAGATTTACAGACAAAGAACTGACTGACGTGCATCTTGAGTACGGGTCTTGCAATGGCAGTTCATTGGCAGCGTAAGAGAAAATCAAAGAAGATTTCCCAATCGCATAGTACCTGGACGTCGAATGTTTACTGATATTCACCGGCATTTGTCAAACCATGGAAGTTTTCAGCGCATGCAGGGCTCAGGAAGGCCACTGGGAAATCATCGTACGGATATTGCTTTAAATATGTTCGAAAATAATCCGCAAATAAGCATACGAAATATTTCAGAAGATATGGATATACCTCGATAAATAGTAAGAAAAAATTATGAATACCTATTTGATAGTTATCCTAAAAATAATAATTTTGGATAGGAAGAATGACAAGATGCAAGGATTACATCGTCATCATTTGAAACGGGTGCAGCATTTAACGGAGGCAGATTTTTTACCACGAATCGAGTTTTGCCAGTGGATATTAGCAAATGAAAAAACTATTCCTAGAATGTTATGGTCGGATGAGTCAATATTTACTAGGA